TACTACATATACTACCATGTCATCTAACTGTGCTGATTTGGTTTGTCCACTTCGACCGATGCACATATGTGTCGCATATGACTGAGTTGAACAGAAGGAGTATTGAAAACTCACATCACTGCTAGTTCTATTTTGTTCAAAGTTTGTCAGTCTTAGTTTACATCATGCTTTCGTTAGGTGTAAGCTATTTTGCTCTGGTGATTTCTCGCTACCGCAGTAAAGTCGTTCATTTGGAAAAGGATACACTAAACAAAACATTTACAGATCTACTATACTCCTTTTAAGAGTTCCTTTCTATTTACCATTTATAATTATTTGTATTGATTTTTGGTGTTAGCGCTCAACATAAGAAATAATAATTACAATTCTAAAAGGAATGATACTTTTTTCTATTCCATGAAATGAGCAATACTGATATAACATTATTGGCTTTATTAAGGTTCACACTGAAGTAATACATTTCTAAATTGAATCATTATATCTGCTAATGAATATCCGGTTCCTTTAACTCAAATTATCTTACATAATTTTATTCGACCATCTCATGTAATAATAATAATAATAATAATAATAATAATAATAATAATAATAATAATAATAATAATAATAATAATAATAGTTATCTTACTTTAATTTATATAATAAAGCTCCTAAACTCCATTGTAGTTCGATTTTATTAATTTCAAGAGTGGGAATAAGTTTGTCATAATTAGTTGGAAAGTGCAAGCCTTTATGAAATGCACTAACTAAATATGAAGCTTTAAAGCATATTAATCTGTAAAGAAATATTAAATAAACGTGTTGACTAGTCAGATAGTTGGCAATCATTATACACAATAGTAGATAATAACAAAGTTAAAAATTCCAGTTACATGATATTAATTATCGAAATACTTGGAAATCATTTAGGATGAACTTGTTCAAGCAAATTCTATACTGGATATCAAAATTCAGACGTTTTGTTGTTGTAATATCTTCAGTTATTATTACTGATCTATGCAGAGTAGACCTAAAAGAGCTTATCAAGTCAGATGATATGTATCAATATTTTGTGTTAATAGACAGTACACATGTCAATGTAATGAAATGCGTTACAAACCAGAGGAAAATATTACTGTATATGGACGCTATCGCTGACCTTTTGAAGAATTCCAGATAAATCCCACTTCAGTAATACAGTGATTTGGCGAATAGGTTTTCATATAAACTGTTTAACCTATTCAATCAATCAGTAGATGCACGTCAGATGTTCTTTAATCAAATCACGTTATTGCATTTATATCGATTAACCGTTTAGTAACCATACTCATTATTTTATTGCTAAAATATCATCACACTGTCAAGAAAATTAACAAAATAGAATGCCAACGCGAGTTAAAGCAACGATACATATGCGAGCTATTCAGTGAGTCAAAAGTATGAAATAATGTCGAAAATGGAAATTTAAAACAACAACAACAAGTCATGTCTCTGAAGGTTTACAAACACATTTCGGTGGAGTTTCAATCTCTGATTTAGATAAGCGCTCTACGGTAAGTATGGAGAATGAAGAATATATCAGGAAAGCCTGAGCAACTACTTCAGGATAAAAGCGTATATAAATCACCACACACAACTCCAGTCAAGAAGGTAGACAACTAAATCGCCAGGACATCAAACAAACTTATCAAAGCGGGACAAATACCAATACAAGATCAATCAAGAATGAAATACAATCGACCAGTGCTCCTTTAATTCCATGGTAGACCGAAACTATACAAACCAAACATCCCACTCCCCAGAGCCTCATCACAATGTATCGGGAGAAATTTCAAGAGAATTGAAACATTCAGTTGATTCATCCAGTCGTCCCGCTAAGTCCCCAATACAATTCTTGGATAAGATGAGAGATTCAAACCAATAACGACGAACTGGTGATATCTTTCGTCATAACAGCCCTATTAAACTCGATCGAATCAAACCTGGCAAATGAACCTCTATCACTGCTCTCCACCAATGAAACAAATATCCAAAAGTCAGTCTACAAAAAATAGACTAAACCATCAAGCTCAGAGAATGAAGCCCTACCAAAATTATTGGTTGGTAGGATTTGATCTGCATTAAGAAGTACCTGACGTTTATGAAGTTGATTACCACCCAGTGATCAATCAATTGTAAACCAAAATTATCCACTTGAGCTACAAATCCCCACCGTTAAGAACTACACATTCCGACTATCTTAAGCTACACAATATATATACATATCAGATGCACATGATTTCTTCGTAATCTACATTGCACGTGTTATTCGACATCAAATAAATCTTATCCTACTGTTCGTTTATATGTTCTGCTTCCAACCACACAAAGTTGGATAAGCTTAACCTCGCTATGAGATTATTGCATGTTGGTCAATGTGCTTGTCTGTCAGAAGTCGCGACCATTCAACTTAATTAATTCTTTGGAGATTTTTACGGTTATTTAATTTAATGGTCACAACGATCATTCTAAAGGCATCAAGATCACTGTTTGATCGTTAACAAAATTGATGATTCTGTCAGTTCATACGTTTTGTTAAATAGTTCAGTATATCAACCACTTCGAATCGTAGCATATCACCTAGTCTTCAGTTCGTTTACAAAGGAAGTCACACTTTCGAATAACTACAAACTTGATCACGTCGATAATAGAATGATAGGAATTCACATACCTGTTACTTTCATTCAGAACAACATGTTATAACAACCGTAGTCGAAAATAATTTAGCAATAACGCTACTCAATCCATATAATCAATTTCAGTACATTATAAAGTTGACTAGTGATAGGTGAACCACGAATTAATTGGTGATACATCGACTGATTCTATGATTATCATACGTAAAATAGATGTCTGTGGAATTCTTACTGTAATAATACTCTTTAAAGTATGTGACGTGGATCTTCCTGAATAATAATTACAGCTCTTGAGTGAACTGTTCTACCCATCGCTTTTATTGGCTCCGACTGGGAAATAATAATGGTAATTCGTACCACTGTAGGGATACTTCTCAAAAATATTCTCAAAATGGTTGCCTACGAACATACGAGGTGTAGTTATCGAAGTCGTCAGAGCTAATATTTATTTGTAGGAGAACTGATGTCATGCAAACTTTATTTTATGAGGTTGGCTATAACACTTCTCCGTTTTCGTTGTTTAGAGCATTTCACTAAGACTTCAGTTATCAGTCGTTACAGTTTCCTCGTGGCCCTACTGTCCAAAATACTGTGTACGTACGGTTTTCTCATATTTCGCTCCTCAGTAACCAACGGGATACTGAAATGCCTGTCAGGAATTCGAGGACCCAACATACAATTGAGGTTGTCGTCAGCATTTGAGGGTTATCTATTTAAGCACTGGTTGGAAAAATACTAATTAGCAGTGGTTAATGATATTTAAGTCTTACATTTTGTTGATCACTAGTATTTGTCTTATTTCTGTCCAATTTTTACTGTCCTCATGAAATTGACCGTTGCTTATAAAAAGAGAAAAGTACCAATAAACCACTTCTTCCTCTCTGAATTGACTGCAGGTGGAAGTTGATGCATTAAGTCACGACTCGGAACTTAGTATAATCTACAACACAGACTGCTCCAGCTACGAACTTTACATCGGATAAATTAGTCGTCATCTCCATGGACGCTAACTGACTGTCAAACGCAACAACATACCTCAAATTTTATAAATAGTACATAAAGATAACCGCAGACAGAGATGATACAAAAAAACTAGGGGATTTTTAGAAACTTAACAGTAAAATCAGTCGATAATCACCATACATACTCAAATAGAATCAACTTATCAATTAAATAGAGAAATCATAAACAACCACCACTCGAAGAACTGGGTAAAGGGGCAAGACTATCAAAATAAATTTGCAGAAAATGACAGGGTAATTGGTAATATCAGCCAATCAAACTCAATGGTAACAGGACGGGCTGCTAGTCGCTTGTGAATAATTTCGAATAGGCCACTTTCATTTGACCTGATGAAACTGTTTAAAAATCCAAGGAAAGCTACACGACCGAACCTTCTAGCTAAGAGAATTCAATTTCAATGAAACCATTCTCCTGAGACACTAATCTTCACCATCTCATTTGCTGAATACTTAATCGCAAAATTCAATTTTCTATTCAGTAGGATATATAACGTACATTACTATCACTTTGATATCACTCACCCTTCATTAAAGTGTTGTTTTATGTATCACAAAAGTTATAATATGAAGCAACAACCGAACGGTGATTACTTATGACCATGTTAAATGATAGCCAAGGATTTATCACATGAGATTTGATTAAGATATGAAATATGTTGCTAGTCTGATGAAAGATGACAACCACGAATTTGCATGATTCGTTTCCTAACACTTTAGTGACGAAGAATCAATTACCTATCCACAAAATACGATAAATCAGCTTTTTGTCAGCAAAAATATCTGATAGTTGGCATTGTTTTTGTACCTTCGTTCTTATTATAGTAACTGAAAGTCAAATCACTTTATATATCAGTTCAAAAACTCTGTAATTTAATAATAAATATATTTCTCATTGGGAAACGACAAAAAATATATTTATTAACTTTCTATCCAATGTTCAATTTATTTGAAACTACCAAGTCCAACCTTGGTACTCATACGTACAATCTTTCATAGATTGAGGTACTATTATAGATCTATTCTGATAACTAATAGCACACAATTTATGAAATCTATACTTAAAAAATAGATCTGATTCAGAGCATTCAGATCTTGCGATGGGTGGATCACCATTAAGAGGTCAAAATTTAAAAACCTGTTTTAGCGGTGCATAAACATCATAGCCGATATTTCTGATACAGTTCGTCGAATAGACAATTTGTAAGGTTACAGAATAGTCGCGAATATAAAACACGAAGCTCTCATCTTAAAACAACTTTTATTATTTTCGTTTTACGAAAAATGCCTATTTATCACATATATTAAGTCGTGATTCTCATTTATGTAATTTTTACCTACATATTTCCTGATTGTGCAAACTAACTCTTGTGTTCTTTTTGTTCTGATGTCACCCAAACGTCTTAATCTACTTGAAGCATGAACTTCTGAACTATCATAGGAATACTCTTAAACTGGGCTTCCTAAATTGTTAGGCGATTTCACTTGATCACTAGAAAGCTGTAAATCTAGGTAAATCATACTTATTAGTTAACTAATCATGCCCAATAACAATCCATACTTTTGCTCACTTGCCATCAAAGCAGTTTATAACCCTATTATTTTCCTAGAATTCGGAAATATAAAACATTGCTTGAATACTTCTGAATGACTACAAGAAATTAAAATATACAAAACGAGATATTCGATATACATAATAAAATTACTACAATATAGCTTAAATTCAGTGCACTTCAATAATGGTCGGTTAGGGTTCGAATTCATCGACAGTCAGAGCTTTGACGTCACTCGTCTCAAGCAATGCAAAAAACCTGTTAGCACATCCCACAACTCCTAAATCACAATAACATAAAGTATGATTGGAAAAGAACAGCAACGTCTAGTTAAAACATATTACGGCTCCGAAGCATAACAGACTCAAGAAAAGATGTACAGTAATGTAGCTACAATTATTCAGTCTAACAAACTTGGTGGTACAAATAATAAATTAACTTTGTTCCTGAAGAGCACGAGACATTTCTTCGAATACTTCAACGGCGATTTGAGCCTCTGTCTTCCCAAGTTCTGTAGTAGCGCTTGACAACTCGGATTGTGCCCTAGACATTCCATCTTTAACAGCGTGCGGGTCCAACTGGTCAAGTGAAGCTGCTTCTTCTGCAAGAACTTGAATAGATGAGTCACTATTGACAGTTACAATACCGCTACTAACTAAAAAAAAGTTTAAGATTGAAGTAGTTATGTATAGTAGTTCGACAATAGAGATACCGTCAAGCTTGTAATTTATTTGTATCATTATTTTAATGGAAAAACAGCACGAATAACACTAGGTTTAGTTTCAGAGACATAAATCATAACATACTATACCAGTAAGTCATACGATTTTCTAAAAGGTAAAACACATCAAAAGAAGGTTAACTCAATGCAACTAACCTATATATCACAAGGTAATGCCATGAAATTATTACCTCTTTATTTTTCGCACCCCCAAATCCCTTAGTACGTCCCAGGGAGAGGAGAGTTCCCTTCCCCTTGAGACGTTTTCATATGGCCACGCGTATACAGCAACTGCCAGGAAAGTCCTGCTCACCTCCTTCTCGTGGCAGGAATGATTATCAGAGAAAAAATGGCGTATGAACTTATTTATAATCACCGGCTACGACGAGACCGCGTCTCTAAAAGGTGCTCCGCTGCCTTGTGGATTGAACCTATAGGCCAGAGGCTCAGTGAGCGACTCCCCACCCCCAAGAAAACCGCCTGCTTCAGTATCTCAGTCCACATACAAAATAAATGATGACTACAATTAGAAAAACTATTCTTATTCATGTAAACTATACTCACGTGTAAATACTCGTTTTTATTTAATATTGTATCACTTGTCTATGTTCTTTTATACTTATTTTGTGTATTCTTTTATTTTCCCATTAAACAACAGCTCGCCTATGGCGGAATCCCTGTTCTATGAAAACGGTCTCAGGTCAATGACTGGTCGACAGTTGGATGCTACCACTGAGCACGAATTCTGAAACCAACCTTTCTGACATCACTCACACCAATCAAACTGGCCACCCACTGACACAAACCGGATAACAGATAGGGTTGGGTATACCATTAGAAAATTTCAACATCGATGTCTAATGTCAATCTGAGTCCAGTATTCAAGATGCTAGTGAAGTACTACAATTTCGATCTCCATCTGTCAGTCAGTAACAACGTAGAACTTCGTACGTACGTACATCAGTTCGAGTTGCCACACCACATTAGCACAGAGATGCAGTTGTCGATTCAAATTCCGTCGTGGTAGAGGTAATAAGAGTATAAGCAGTAATCGGGAAGATTAGGGTTTGGAGATGTTATTTAAAGAGTATAATGTAGTGAAATAAATTTGGAAAGAGGAAAAAAGGGACATGAAGAATTCAGAAGATTAGAATTTGGGAGAACACAGAGAGTGGATGCACCTGCGCCATTGCAAACGGTTTTGAGCCATGTCATTCAGGGTCTCTAACCATCGGTTGCTATCATCTCGCGGTCTCCAACCAGGTAGTCTACACCTACCAACATGACTCAGTTCACTTGTCAGTGACTTCATGGACTTGTGCCATGTTTTGGTTTGGCCGCCCCTAGCTTTCTTCCAACCTACTCCTACACCAGAAAACATCGCACGTCTAGGCAGTCGGTCGTTGGGCATACGTAACACGTGTCCCAGCCATCTCAACTGATGAAGTTTCACCACTTCATCAATCGATTTGCCATCCTTACCTAGTACCCGTTTCCTAACAACTGCATTACTTACTCGATGCTCCCAAGATATACGAGCAATGTTTCGAAGACACCTATGATCGAATACTAGTAACCTATGAATTTCCTCTACTCTTACCGGCCACGTTTCACTGCCATAAAGTAGGACGGAACGAACTGCTGCACAGTGAACACGTCCTTTGGTTGATAGACGGATATCTCGCCTGCGCCATAAATGACGCAAGTTGGCAAAAGCTAGTCGAGCCTTCTGTATCAGTGCTGAGATTTTGTCACACACCAGACCACGAAGGCTGATGAGACTTTGACACGTTCAACTACTTCACTCCCTATCACTAGTTCGGGTGTCGATGTAACCCAATCCTGAAGCAACATTTTGCATTTCGAGGGAGAGAATCGCATCCCGAACATGCTTGCATTGTTGCTTAGAGTGGTCAGAAGACTCTGCATTTTGTCAGCGTCTTCACCAAATAAAACTATGTCATCTGCATATTCTAAGTCAACAAGTGAACCTCCCGGTAAAAGTTCAACCCCTGGAAATTTAGATGAGGAGAGTGTTATCTCTAAAAGTACGTCCACCACAAAGTTGAACAAGAATGGGGAGAGTGGACAGCCCTGACGAACACCACTTGAGGTAATCAATTCTGATGACAGTTCGCCATAAGCTCTCACTCGACCAGTTATGTCCGAGTAGAGAGCCTTTATAAGGTTAATGTACTTCTTTCAGTGACAAATACTACCATAGAACCTCACGATAAACAGAGTCAAATGCTGCCTTAAGGTCAAGAAATACCACGATTGTGGGGCGTCTGAATGTCTATCTATGTTCTAGGGCCTGACGTGGTGTGAATATCTGGTCTACACAACCACGTCCAGGTCGGAAACCAGTCTGGTTTTCCCTAACGTGTTCTTCACCAGCTTTGATTAGGCGTCGAAGTATTATTGAAGCTAATATTTTAGACACTATATTAGTCAAACTGATTCCTCGGTGATTGTCACAAGAGGATTTTTGTTCTTTTTTTATAGACTGGCACAATCAGTGATTGAGATCAGTCAGATAGGATTACGTCCAGTTCCCAAATTCTACTCAAGACCTCAATTAATCTCACTGCTAATACTGGACCGCCATATCTGAAAACCTCAGGGGTAAACCTGTCAGGGCCTGCTGCTCTCCCTCGCTTCAGATTTCCTATGGCTTTTTCAACTTCGTAAAGAGACGGAGGACCTACATTAACTTGCCATTCAGGTTGACCGGAGATCGTGGGAAACCGAAGTGTGGCTGAAGGCCAGTTGAACTGATCCCTGAAGTGTTCTGCCCATCGATCCAATCTCCTGGATTGAGAATGAATAATATGTCCATCTTTCTCTGAGATTGTTTCGCTAACGGTCGGGTTCCTAATTCCGGTTTCCTTAACAAGTCTGAACAATTGTCTGCTATTACCTATTGCCGCTGCCTTTTCCCATCTCTCTTGCTATCGCTACCCACCACAGTTCGCGATCATTGAGTAGACTTCTTGTCAGCTTGCGCTTAAGCTGACTCCGCTGTTCATTATGTTCAGAGCCAGGTGGAATGAGTTTCCGAGCATCTATCAGTGAGATAGATGCTGCTGAGATCCAATGTTGCTCACTAACCTTCTGGTTTACCTTACTAGCAGATATCACTGCTGTTTCCACAGCTTTTCGGATATCATTCCATGCTGCATCGGGGTGGGCATCACATACATGGCTGCCTAACTGTTTTCCTAGTTGTTCCTGAAATATACTCTTAGCTTGACTATCATTAAGTAGGGCCCTAAGAGGTTTTACTTGCAGCGTCTTCCCTACGTCCAGTAAGATGCAGGCAAATACGCGCTCGTACTAGAGCATGATCTGAATCTAAGCATGTGCTCCAGAATGAGCGACAGTCTTCTATCGAGCCGCTCCATCGGTGGCTGATAGCGATGTGATCTATTTGGGTCCAACGTTGGGACGAATTAGGGATCTCTATCTGTACCTTCGGAAAACCTGTTTTACTTGAATACATACGGAGACCCATGGTATCTCTGCCTGGTTTTACTGGCATTGGTATCGCCCTAAGCGCTATAGCTGACGAAACATCAACAGACTTCCTTACGCCTGTTACCAATCTGTCCTGAGCAATCCTTCACAGTTGATATTCATCCTTTTCATGTCTGCTTCCAATTCCCCGCTCAGTATGTTCTTTAACCTTCCACTTTCCCGTTTCCGTTCAGCACTGAAGGTTAACACTTACCTTATGACGCAGTTTGATTTCCGTAATGTATTTCCTATCCATCTTCAACGTATTTTCCTCTTCAGCTGGAATTTCGTTTGGTCTCTCTCACAGTAGGCCGCTGCTGATGGTATACGGTCAACGGACACTCAGTATCTTGTGTAAACAATTGTTTACAAATACTTGTGCTTTCTTGATAATGGTTGTAGTAGTTCTCCAAGTTTCAGCTCCATACAGTAGAACTGTCTTGACGTTCGTATTGAAGATTCCGAGTTTGGTGTTGGCTTGCAAACAGTTGTTTTGAGTTGCATATGTTCTTCAACCGTAGGAATGCTGTCCTTGATTTGCCAATCCTCGCCTTCACGTCTGCATCCAATCCTCTTTGTTCATCGATCATGCTGCTGACCAGGAACGTAAAACTTTCTACCTCCTCCACAGTTTCTTCACCAAATGTGATTGGGTTGGTGTTCTCTGTGTTGTATTTGAGGATCTTGCTTTCTCTCATATGTGTGGTGAAGCGTACTGATACAGAGGTTGCTGCTACACTGGTTGTCGTCACCTGCACTTGTTCGTGTATATGGGGTAGAAGGGATAGTTCATCTGTGAAGTCCAAATTGTCCAGTTGCATTCAAGTTGTCCACTGCATTCCGTGCTTCCCCTCAGATGTCGAGGAATCCATAATCTAGTCAGCCAGCAGAAGAAAGAGAGAGGGAAAGAGTAAGTAGCCTTGTCTGACTCCGGTCCTAACTTGGAATGAGTCTGTCAAGTGTCCTCCGTGCACGACTTCGCAGTGTATTCCGTCATATGAATTCCAGATGACGTGAACAATCTTCTCAGGTACACCATAGTGTCGAAAATTGCACAAGGTTCTCCTGTCCACATTGTTAAACGCCCTTTCATAGCTAAGGAAGATTATGTATAGTGACGAGTCCCATTCGACTGATTGTTCAACGATGATCCGTAGTGTCACAATTTGGTCCGTGCACGACCGGTCTTTACGGAATCCGACCTGATGATTTCGAGGCTGGGCGTCTACTGAATCATTCATCCGGTTCAGTAGCATTATGTTGAAAACTTCTCTTGGTACTGACAATAGTAGTGTAATGCCTCTGTAGTTCTCACATTTACTCAGATCTCCTCTCTTTGCGATCTTGATGAAGTATCCTTCTTCCCAGTCTGTCGGTGGCACTTGTTTTCCTTCAAAATCTTCCTGAATAGAACATGAAGCATACTTTCAGTTGCTTTCGAGTCTGACTTTAGTGCTCCGACTGATACCTTGTCAGGTTCTACTGCTTTCCTACTATTCATTTGTTCAATGTTCATCCTGATTTCTTCGAACGTTGGTGAAGTGACATCTATAGGCATGTCTGTGTGTGCTGTGTTGATGTACATTGAATTCACTGAGGCTGATCTATTCAAGAGTTGCTCAAAATGGTCTACTAATGTGTTCCTCTGTTTTTGAATCGCAGTGAATGGCTTGCCTTCTTTATCCTTGGCCGGTCTCTCTGGTTTACTATACTTCCCTTCCAATTTCTTCTTTGTGTCATATAATTTGTTTCATATTTCCTTCTCTTGCTGCTTTATCCGCTGTCGTTACTAGGTCTTCCACGTATTTCCACTTGTCAGCTCTAATGCTCCTCTTCACTTGCTTGTTTGTCTCAGTGTATTCAGCTTGTGCCTTAACTCTCTCTGTTCTCGTTCGGCTGTTGTTAATTGTTGTCTTCTTGTTCTTCCTTTCTCGAATACGAAACAGGGTTTCTATAGAGATCCATTCCTTATGACGATGACTGTCGAAGCTCAGAACCTCCTGATACGTTGGAGTTGGTGCTTCTTTGATCCCTTTTTGATTGTCATTCATAGAAGTTTCCGATTCTCTTAGTAGATCTTGTAAGACTTGGAACCTGTTGTTGAGAAACATCTTGAGTTTTTTTAGTTTGTCAGTATATCGAAGGAAGGCTGTATTGAACCTTTGTAATCCTGATTCCCCATTTGTCCATTGCTTCTTTAGATTCAGTTTCATCTTGGCGACAACCAGGTGGTGATCTGAGGCTATATTCGCTGCTCTCTTGGTTCTCACGTCTTCCATTGACCTTCTGAATTTCTTAGTGATGTTGATATGATTGATCTGATTCTCCGTAGTGGTGTAGTCCGGTGATACCTGCGTAGTCTTGTGTATGCGTCTGTGGGGGAATATTATACCGCAAATAACCACTTTCTTGAATGCACATAAATTGCAAATCTATCACCATGCTTGTCCCTTTCTCGCAGTCAGTCCATGTCGTCGTCAGCAAATTGGTTGCAGCTTCTGTTTCAACTAAATATTAAATCAAGCTAGGTTCAAGGCTAGCTATCATCCCACCCAAAAATATGGACGAGCATTGGCTGCAATTGCATGACAAAATGAAAATAGCAAGTAAAGTTGCCTACCTTAGAGAAATTTCCAACATTGTGGCATGAGTCGATAGTTGTCCCTATCTTTAAAAAGGGTTCACATCACCTATGCAACAACTATCACATAATAAGTCTACTTCCGATTGAGTCCAAACCACTGGCTTTCGTCATACTTTGTAGATTGTTCAAAACCCGAGAAACATTGGCAGGTTGTTTTTTGTTCTGGTTGAGGGTGTATTGATTACATCATCACCCTCCACTGATTTTTGTCTCAGCGAATTCCACATTGCCGATGCTGGGACCGGCTGGAAAAAGTAGTGACCAGTGCATGACATGTTGTGGTATGGACGCTGTTAAGGACTTGCTTCTATTGCTATTATTTTAACCCCCTCGGTAGCCATCTCGTTGTGTTCATTCGGCATAGCAACTTGGGGTGACGTCAGGCTCTACGTTGACTAGGATTGGCTACATAAAGCTTTGATGACTAAGACATTTCCCAGGAGTTTCCCCAAAACTATTTTTGGATTTATCTTGATGCACCAGATTTTGAGAAGTTCTAGTTCTATATGTATACTTAACTTACATTATGCTGGTCGTTAGTTGTGCAGTTAAGATGAATTACTACTCCTAGCAATCGGTATTTTTCATGTGGTGCCGCTCTTACAACTAAAAGACAATCATATCCTAGGAGCCAAAAGCGATTAAACAGAATAACCTGGTGAAGCATAAGATCACATAAACATGAACTACTCTGTTAATTGTCACTGTGATTATTGGAAATGGTAACTCGTAGATGCTAAAACTAACATCAATATTAAGGGTAGAGAATCATTTGAATGGGTTATTAGTGCAAAAACAATTACCTAACATCGGTGCTCGAAGTCAATAACTTCTAATATTAGCCATGTTGGTAGATGAAGACTACTTGGTTCGGGTTCGCGTGACTATCGTAACCAATGGTTCGAGATTCTATGTGAGATGGGTCTGAATCGGTCACAATGGCATAGGTGTATACACTCTGTCTTCCCTTGAACTATGAGGTTAAAATCGCTTCATATCTTTTTTTTACCAACTAATTCTTTCAACTGTACTATATCATCATATGCAATCTTTCTTTTATATATTACCACCATTGAATTAACTACTATGAATTCGGTGTTCATCTTGTTGTGCTAATGAGGTATGGCAACCTAGACCGATGCATATATGTGCCTGGTCTTACGTTGTAGCCGACTGACTGACTTAGCATTCTTAACCAGTATCATTAACAATAAAACTTAATGAACTATTTCCCGTACGAGGTAGACGAAACGTACCGAAATACTTTTTTACACTTCCGTCATTTTCAGTGACTGCCACAATACCGGGTTTTAGACAACCCACTGTGGGGACATGTTCAGCCAAAACACCGAAACGACCATTTAAAGTGGGAACGTCAACTTGCTTTACCGCGACATTGTTGTAAAAGGCTTGGGCTGATGAAGCAAACGTAAGCTTGAGTTCTGTCAAACACTGTGTCGAAGTTCGAATACTCCGTAGTTGACTTGGAAGTCGAAATATGGCAACCCTTCTGAACAGCTAAAAAAGACGAAAAATGTTTGGAGGCAATGTAGTTAGCATTTTCACAGTTCGTAATATTTAAACATTCAGAAAGTACATGAAATGTATCTTCACTTGTCCGAAACCATTGATGAGTATGCAAACCTACGTGTGGTGCTTTTCTAGTCTTTATTTTAGCTGTTTCTGTTACAGAAACAGGAAAGAAATTCTTGGTCTTAAACGACACTGGTAAAGTACAAACATACTGAGAAACTATTTAACGCCCATCCTAAATTATCTTGTTCGTCAGTAGACTTTAGTTCGCTTAGCACAGATCACGAACAAACTCTGATACCTAGTTACAGGTGATGGAATTACAGCTAGAATATTTAAACTCAAACGTCAAACAATACCCTTTTCATTTGCAAACGCACACACACTAAACCTATAGTAGTAAAGTAGTAGACAGAGTTTGAGTGAGTGACACGAAGTGCACCTAACTAATAATGACTTAAGTAGTTTTAATCTTACACTAAAATATTATTTCTGAGATGCCTTGATGAAAACAGTAATTATTTGATGAATAAGTACTCTATAATTTTCGCGACACAAGATATCGTGCACTTCGTTAAGCCACTCACAATTTTCAATATAGGGCTGGAGTTTTCACCACAAACCTAACCCAACATTAATGCACGAATACTTTGCAACCATATGAATCTCAACTTATGTCAGCTAATGATGAAACACAAACTCTGCACGCTAGTCCTGACCCGTCGCCCTAGCAGGATAAGTCGTTAAGTTGTATTATTCGCTCTCTAATGGATAGAAGATGGCAATATTTCGTTACGGTAATCTAACTAGTCGTTACAGTTCATAGTTCTGCTCCACCCGAAACACTAAGCAAGAATTTCACCAGCCACTTTGTGAAAGAATACTGAATACAAGAACAGAGTTGATGGAACCCTCGTGAATACTTTGTAGCTTAGGCTAGAGAAAAGATAAGGACAAAGGTAATTAACAAAATACCATAAAGTCAACAAAGAGGTCACCACTTTACCATTTGGCGCGCTGCAAAAATCCTCCTCAATAACCAATCATTATCCAATTGTTTGAAATGGGCATGGACAACAGAAAAAGATTTCACTTAGAGGAATTTTGTATCTAGTACAGTGGATCACTGATGCTTTCAGAAAGAAGCTTAACGACCTAAAGAGAAATATTAGTAAATTACAGTGTAATGTATTCAGTTTGTGTATAAAGGACAGAAGGCCTACAGCCTATGTTATTCCTTTTCTAGTATCTTTTCGTGAGTGTCTAGTCTTCTCTTGAATAGGCCAATTGAATATGCGGATATCACCACTCCGAGTAACAGGTTTCAAGAATTGATGACTCAGTGTGAAAACCTGTATGCCATGGGTGTTTTGTTCGTTCTTCGCTTTTCTACTAAGTCCTCTGGGATGTTCCGATCTAATGAAAAGAAAAAGAGAGAATAAATTAGGTCCAAAATCATTTATTAGTATTCTATGCATCAAAATCAGATCAGCTCTTAATCTATGACAGGATAGAGTAGAAAGGTCTAGCTTTTCAAGCCTCTCTTTGTATGGTAAACCCCGGAGTTCTGGAATTGCACGGGTAGCTGCCCACTTTACTTTCCCCAGGACATCAGAGTCCACTTTTAAACAGGGGCCTGCAGTCTGGACGCAGTTCTCAAGCCTAGTTTCAACTAGGGTGCATGTAGATACACTTCGACGTGTTGATAAGTATCACCCACTCTTTAGACCAGCCAATTACAATATTTAAGTCTGCCTGAAGTGAGCATGCATCTGCGTCTCACGTTATTCGGGAGATCATTTACATACAGTATAAAAAGTAAAGGACCTAGGACAGAACCTCGGGATACTCCATTAAATACTGGTCTCCAGGTGAAGTACTTGTAATTTGTCCTTATTTTATGTCTGCGACCTGCTGGGAAATCCTTAAGCCATTTTCCGAGAGGTCTGACAATGTCAAGATTTTCCAGCTTCAACAGGAATTTATGTGTTAGCACCTTGGTAAATGCTCCGCTGAAGTCTATGTGGACATCATCCACTGATTTTCAATTGTCTAGAGGCCTTATCCATGCTCCCTTACTATAAAGAGGTTTGTTGTGCAAGATAAAACTTTTCTGAAGCTATGTTGTTCACTTTTCAACAAGTAGTTGGTTTCCACGAATGTCATTATAGTCTTTTTGACTTCTTTTCAGTACTTCAACTACAACACTGGTGAGGCTAAAAGGTCTGTAGTTCGGTAGAAGTTGTCTTGGTCCTGTTTCATGTATTAGAGTGACGATTGTATCCTTCTAGTTCGCAGGTAACACATCTTAGTCAAATGACATATTGAATATCACAATTAGTAGAGCTGAAATATATTGTGCAATTTGTCTCAGGTTTCTCTCAACACTCAGAAGAGCTTTCAACAGGGTATTGTTAAACAGAACTAAAAACTCAGTAGGCGACCAACTTCGAGACTAACAGGATCGATTCCAACCAAACCGCAACACTTCGGATCATTGTGGAACAAACAATTGAATGGAATTCATCACTCTACATCAATTTCATTGGCTACGAGAAAGCATTCGATGGCTTGGACAGGAAAACACAATGGAGGCTTCTTCGACACTATTGCGTGCCAGAGAAAATGCTCACCGTCATCTGGAATTCATATGATAGGTGAAAATGCAAAGTCATGCATGGAGGACAGCTCACAGACTCTTTAGAGGTGGAAATCGGTGTCAGACAAGGTTGCTTACCCCCACCCTTTCTCTCTTCTCCTGGTGATCGACTGGATCATGGAGACATCAAAATCTGGGTGGCAAGCACGGGATACAGTGGACATCTAGGATGCAGTTGAACGATCTAGACTTCACAGGTGATCTGACCCTCCTATCACAAACGCAACAACAAATGCAGGAGAAGACGACCAGTGTAGCAGCAGCCTCAGTAGCAGTAGGTCTCAACATACACAAAGGGAAAAGCAGCATTTTCCGATACAATACAACATGCACCATTCAAATCACACTTGACAGAGAAGCTTTAGAAGATGTAAAATCTTTTACATATCTGGGCAGTATCATTGATGAGCACGGTGGATCTGATGCATATTTGAAGGTGCGGATTGGCAAGAGCAGTATATCTACAATTGAAGAACATCTGGAACTCAAAACAAATGTCAGAATCTTCAATACAAATGTCAAAACTGTTCTATTGTATGAGGCAGAAACTTGGAGAACTACGAGAGCTATTATCCAGAAGTTACAAGTGTTTATTGACAGCTGTCTACGCAAAATACTTGGGATCCGTTGGCCAGATACTATCAGCAACAATCTACTGTGAGAAAACAAACCAGATCTCAGCGGAGTAAGAAACAATGGAGAAGCGCTGGAAGTGAACAGGATACACATTGAGGAAAACACCCAACTGCATCACAGGGCAAACCCTCATCTGGAACCCTCGAGGCCAAAGGAGGAGAGGAAGACCAAAGAACACATAACGTCAAGAAATGGAGACGGACATAAGGAAAATGAACAAAAATTGGACAGAACTGGAAAAGAAGGCCCATGACAGAGTTGACTGGAGAATGTTTGTCGGCGGCCTATGCTCCATTGAGAGTAACAGGAGTAAGTAAAGTAAGTAATTTGTCTCAGGATTTTAGGGTGTATTTCATCCGGTCCTGTTCACTTTTCCGTGTCTAAGGTGTTTAGAGTCTTAAGCACATCGTCCTGACCAAAGTCTATGGTGAGCGTATAGTTTGCTGATTATATATTTGGGTCTCCCTCTTCGTCTGGAAGAGGCTCTTTAATGAAAACTGTTCCGAAATAGTCTGTCATAGTATCTGCTTTTTCCTGATCAGAACTGTTTCTTTAAGTGTATCGCAGTGGTAACCAAATCCTCAGAAGTTGATGTTCTTCCTCCAAATGCTAACGATCAACTTCATGAACCAGTTTTCGATTTACAGGCAGCCAGTGAGAAACCGATCGCCACATATGGTGAGTGATATGTGTATCTTAACGTGGGTTTACGCAAACCCTGAACAGTACCAATCGCAAAAGAAATTGTTATGTGTAACTAGTAAAGTTGGGCATCACATCACGGCCACAGGTTCAACGGTATTTTCGAAGGCGCGTCAACTGGCTCACGATGAGCTGAGGTTGACAAAAAATGAATTCCACCATATGATAGACTTAGAATCATTCGGCTATCAAATAGTTCATGGACATCTCTATTGCAAATGGTCCCTAAAAAAGATAGCAATGACTGGCGTTCAAATGGCGACTGCCAACGATTGTACACGAAAACTACTCTCGATCTTTAACCATTGCTTTACATTCATGACTTGGTGGCTACTACGAAAGGTACGAATGTTTTTTTTCAAAAATCGTTTTAGTTAAAGAGTATAACCAAATCCCAATGATTGCTGACGATATCCCCAAAACTGCTATCATTCCCCATTCGGCATCTATGGATTGTCGAGCATGCGTTTCGGTTTAGGAAATTCATCAACGACTCCGTTTGAGCTCTCTACTTCGTACACATGTATGTAGATAGCCGCTTGATCGCAAGCCCGGACGGAAAATATCTCCAACAAGTAGATGTTATTTTTGAACGTCTACAAAAACGCAGCACTAATATAACACTCAAAAATGCCAAATCGGAACCGACTTTCTAGACTTTCCCAGACATACTATTGATGCTCAAGGCAACCGACCTCCAAAAAGCAAAGTGGCGGCCATTTTTGATTACCCAGAACCTATCACAGTCAAGCAACTACGCAGCATTGCTCACGCACCAGGACACCAGAGAACCCACTAGTATTGCAATAGACGCATTGTACTCTGCAATCGGTGGTGTGTTAAAACAGTTTGTAAATAACACCTGGCAACCTTAAGCGTTCTACTCGAGACGGTCGCGAGACGCCGAAACGCGGCAAAGTACTTTCGATAGTGAACGCTTAGCCATGTATTTTGCTGCACGGCACTTTCAACACTTTTTGGGAGACAGAGAATTCATTATGTTCACCAACCATAAACCTTTCACTCTCTCTCTTAGCTCGTATTCAGCTAAGTACTACCCACGAGAGTCTCGACAACTGGAATAAATTTCGCCGTTTACTTCAGATATAGAACACATTTCTGGGGTAAACGATGTAGTTGCGTACGCCTTGTCTCGTATGACGTCCTTGGACGGTTTCCAAGGTATCCACTTTCTTGAACTCTTACAGCTTCAAGAAGACACTGATCTCCATCATGACATATATTATTCAACCCTAAAACTGCGTATTAAACATATGGGAACAGGTAAGGAAACCTTACAATGCAACACATCTACAGACAGCGATCGTCCAATCGTGCCGTTTCACACGATGGGCGAAAGCACTGCCTATCAAAGACATTACTACTGAAACAGTGATCTGCACCTTCGTAAAACATTGGGTAGCAAACTTCATACCCTCTCACTTTTGACTTCTGATTTCTCTGTGTCGGCACACAAGTGTTACTGGCAAGGGTGTTGTCAAACTCCGATTGCGTGTAGAATCATTAAAATGTTAAGTTCCCTATCAAACGAGTCCTGAGAAGTCACTATTATCACTTCAGCCCATAGCAACTTCCAAAATTCAACTGACTGTAAGAATTAGGTATCCAAGATCGCCAGAGGTTGAACTTGCTGTTCCACAACACAAAGTTACGACATAGCTTGGCAAAAGAAACGTTGCCACGTGTGTATGAGGTTAATGATCAACGGATTTTCGATGAAGACCTCTGTAGATAACTCTCCTTATCTAAGCCCTCCCAGCAGGTGTATAATGTACTTGCGTCATCCCAAAGTGACGCCGTAGATAAATTGGCTGAGTCTGTTGATCGGACTCTAAAAGATCACCCGAAATCCAATCACTGAGGTTTATTCTATCAGTAAAAATCCTCAAACGACACAAGAGACTTTACAGACCTCTGTCGTACTTTCACTCATTATCTAAATACTCATCATAATCGCAGAACCCCTTAAACCCCTCAGGACCCATCATGAAAAAGATCTGCCTCTAGATCACGAGAAACAGATAATTCCGATTGGCATTGTACCTCAACAAGAACGCTAAGTCTTCTATAAATTGCGATAAACCCTAAAGTATCCCCAGTCCCAAACCTTTTATCAAGACAAAATTTTCGGGGAATTTCCCCGTAGGCGTGTGTTAACAGCAGTTGAGGTAGGTGGAAATAACCATCTGTCGCATATCACTGATGTGGTGACGAACTTTCTCTCACGACCGACTACGAGATCCGGCCTTCAACTTACAGGAAGCAAATGGTAAACTGACCACTACACACGGTAAGATATATTATTATTTTAACGATCATTTACACCAACCTCTTCACCGGATTTTCATTAAAGACAGATGTTTCTATCCTAGTCGTTGATACAGACGTGTTACAACACCATACTCTGCACACCAACTGGAACGAATAAAGATTAGTAAACGGAAATACTAAATAATCTGTTTGCGTTGTAGGTTATGCCCAGACATGATTAAACATACAATCGATCGACAGGCACATGATAAGTACCCTGAACTTTATACAACAAAATTGAAATTGCTGTGTTGTCAGCAATATTACACACTGCATTAAGACTACAGGATAACCCGTACTTTTGAAAACTCGCCGGCTAGCTCCCGATAAGCTTAAGTTAGCCAAAAACGAATTCGACTGCAAGCGCATGGTCCCTAAACATGACCGATGGTTGGTGTCTAACTAGTGACTATCAGCGACTTAATACTAAAATAGCTTGCGATCGCTACGTGATGCTACAAATCCATGACCTGACACCTACTCTAAAAATCACAGTCGATTTATCAAAAATCGATCTTGTCGAAGAGTATGGCCAAGTTACTATGACTGCAGGTGACATTACGAAATCTGCTATCCACACATCAGGCTCTACAAAGCTTTTGCACATAACATTCGGATTGAAAAGCAATACACAAGTGTTTCAGGGATCCGTCGATGTTGTAGCCAGGGTTTTCAACCTCTTGAATGTATATTTTGGTGACTGCTTGGTGGCGAGTTAGGATAGAGAATTTCAACTCCAGGATCTGGACCGTTTTCGCAAACGACTCCAAAAACATGACATCATGATGAACATTCAGAAATTTCAAATCCAAACCGTTTCTCTGGACACACTTCTGACACCTAAGGCATTCATTCCTTCAGAAGACAGGTGGCGGCCATTTTGGACTATCCAGAACAGACCAGCCAGGCCATTATGCATATTTAACAAACTAATAAGTTGTTATCGATCGTTAATAAATAAATATCCATCTATCGTGAGACCCTTGAGTCCTGAGTTGCAAAACACTGGAGATATCTTTAGTATTTGTGCAGAAATAAATTGATTAACCATTCCTCACTTCGTTGAAATACGGTGACAATGAAGATTGTATTGCTATGACTTTTATGAATGACCACCGTTATATACCGGGGTTTCAGTTTATCCACAACATCATCGATGCACAGAAAGTCAATTGTGTATTTTATGAATCTTCTTATTTTTTAGTTAGAGAGTTATATATAAATAAGGATGAAATTTCAGTCAAGGGTTTCATGCCAATCACTGACTTCAGTTGTTCAAAATGTAGTTCAATAAAAATCATGGCCCAGTTTTCAGCACATATTCACCAAAATGACGTGAAACTGACTTCAATTACTTGAAACACATCTCTTATTGAACTCTGCAACCCCTAAGGTTTGTAGTTAGCGCTCGTGATTGTCCTTCAGGTTGTTCGCGGCGCAAATCAGGTGATAATTCTGTTATGATAACCGTATGGGTCACTTACCTTGGACATTTATTGTAAGCACTTTGCTTTCTCACTGTTGGTACAAGATTCGCTTCTTCGTTGTTACTTTTGGGGCTCATATCCAGTCGGAAAAGTACCCAATTGTAATAATCCCAGGTGATGGAGGGTGTCAGGCGTATAGCAAGCTAAAAAACTCAACATCACCTCCTTTTTTAGTATGGATAGACTTACGTTACTTTCTCGAACCGGGAAAACTAAACGAATACTTCGGGTAAGGTTCACAACTGTTTGATTTATTGGGTCTCAGCTTAGTTTATGATCCAGTCACCAGAAAGTCTAGAGATCCTGATAGCGCAGACGTATATTTCCCAGGTTGGGGTGAAACGTGGTCTATTGAAAATTTGGATAGTTATAGACATAGCAGAACTGAATATTGTGGTCCGATGATTGAGTCATTGCGTCGTGATCCTTTCTTTGTATCCAACTGGACTATTCGCGGTGCACCCTTCGATTTCCGTAAAGCTCCAAGTTAGTTTAAAGCTTTTAAATTAGCTTTCTCTCCAGATGAAAACGAGGGCTTTATTAACAAACTTATGCACCTGATTGAGGAGACTTATCAAAATGGTGGAAACCGGTCTGTTGTTTTGCTTGGCCATAGTTTGGGGGCTAAGTACGGGATATACTTCTTAAAGTCAATGAAGAAAAGCTGGAAGAATACATACATCAAAACCTTTGTCTCACTCAGTGCACCTCTTGGTGGTTCAGTAAAGGCTCTTAAAATCGAAGCAAGTGGTACGTTATGTTATTCGATTATATTTGTTCAAATGTGTCAGCGTTTATTGCTTTTTTGTCTCACTTAAAATCTTAGCATACAACTCCATTTATAATAAAAAAGGAGACCACTAACTCGGACTACGATGTATTATTATCCAGGATGTACATATCTGCTTACCATTACTTAGCGCGGAACCATCACTTAAATTTCTCACCATTTTTGTCAACTAACTGGTCCTATGAGTGTTTCGTTGAAATTAATAGCAACAAAGTACTCGAACCTCACTGATTGTTTCAGAACCTTGGTAGGATTCCAATCGAAATCGGTTTGTAAAATATTACCTGTTCATTTTTTGTAGTCTTATTTATAAAATGAATTTCCGGCAATACTTGAATTGCTTAATGAATCACTGATGAACCTAGTTGGTAAATAACGTTATTGTTTCAATATTCCGATAAAATATAGCCTTATTAGCACAATAAGTAACAATAAAAAAGTATTTCCATTTCTATTTGTAAATGCAAAATGTTACTTAAGATTTGATCCGCTCCACTACCTAGACTAACCATAGACAGCAAAGTAAATAATTTTGCTGATCACTACGCTTATATTAAAAGACTCATCACACCCGGTTGATGGCTAATAAAACCTCTGTACGACTACTAAAAATCCACGTGGTTCTCACCAATTTGCACTGCTGGTGAAGTAGGAACAGTTGTACTGCACATTTGTCCGCAATTTGCTGTCTTTTTTCTGATCTTCATTGTCAGACTACTCATTCATACATTTATTTTATTACTTCACAAACCGAACTAAGGTTTTTAGCCTGCGATTCTAAATTTTTTGATTGTAAACTAACGCATTTCACGGATATCAGTTTTATGAAATGCATCTAAAGTCTCATATTTACTTTTCCTGTCTCAATATATTATTGTTGTTGCTGTTGGTTTGTAACTAAATTGATGATATAATTCCCGGACTTCTCACATGAATGTTACTTATTCGAGTTGCATCAACCAACACAGCTGTTTGAGTATGCAATCTTCGTAGTTACTGCCAGCAAATCTGCGTATGCTGTAGCAGATCCTGATATCCTGGGTTTAGTTTGTAATTGAATGATATTGATATCTTGAAGCATCAGGTAACATGATGCTTTAAAGATATCAAGCTTGTTATCCCGATATTTGCCGAGGATTAGATCTTTATACTTAAAATAAAGGCATTACAGTGCAGTCACGCTGTGAAGCCTTATCCAATATTCCATCAGTGGTAAGGTCATAGGAAGCAAACAGCCAGGTGAGTTTTACCAGCCTTATTACCAGGATTTATTAGTGAGAATAAAAAATCCACCCATTATATGGGAAACGCTTCTATTTTAGTCACCGAGTCTTATTTATAGCTGTCAGTATAATATATCTTTAATAGATAATCTCATGCAACTACTTGATATTTTCTGGCGAACCACGTTTGCAACTATTTTCTGGAATATATAGGCAATGTAAGTACCTGTTTCAGCTTGGGTACCCGGGCAGTATCGCAGCCCTTACAAATATCAAATGAGATTTGTGTGGCGCATATGTATTTGGTGCCTCCTTGTACCAATATCTATGTGTTAAAATAAACAAATACAATAAATTCTAAGTACTTTTTACAATAAACCTGTCATTTTTAAACGTTGTTTAGATGTACTGCTATTTTTGTAGGAGATAACTTTGGTGTGTTTTTACGCAGTCCACTTAGTTTCCGCCCTGTTCAGCGCACGCTACCTTCTCTTGCTTTTCTCCTCCCGGATTCTCGTTTGTGGTCACCAAAGGAACCTCTTATTATAACGCCAACAACAAACTATTCTGCTCATGACTACGAACGTTTCTTCCATGATGTCAATTATTCAATCGGTGAGCAAATGAATATTATATATTCAGTCTATTCATTTTAACTTGTTAACTTTGTTTTATTAAGAATTTACTAACGTTGGAAAACCTAAGTCATTAGATTTCAAATCAGTAATTGAGTAGCTTCGTGTATAACGTCTTTAATTTATGTGCGTACTGCTAAAATGCCGTATATTAGGACAAGTCAGTTATCAACTGCTGTGTGCTTCCAAATAGTGATTCAGTTTATGTTAAGCTGTGGTGTAAATCATTATCAAGTTGAACCAATCTTAATACATACTAAATCGAGTATTAAGGTAATTTGCAACCACTTTAACAACTAGATGTATTATTGAAAGATTCTCTTTATTCTTACTTCTTGCGCCTGTTGCTGCTCATAGATCACAGGCCATCAACTAGGATTATTCAACCATCTCTATCCTGGGCTCTTCTTTCCAGCTGTTTTCAAGTACTGCTCATTCTTTAGATGTATGCCTCCAATTCTCGTCGCAATATTTTCTTTGATCTTCTTTTCCTTTTGCCTTCAGGATTTCAAGTTAGGGCTTGCCTCGTGATGCAGTTTGAGGATTTCCACAATGTATTTCCTATCTACTTCCAACGTCTTTTTATAATTTCATCATGAGCTGAAAGTTGGTTTGTTCTCTGACATTAAATTGTTGCTGATGGTATCCACCCAACGGATCTGGAACATATTATGTAGACAAGATACAAAAATGCTTCCTACCCTTGTGTATCGTTATTCTAGGATATTATTATCCACGTCGTTTGGTCACGTACTGCTTCTTTTTAGTAAGTGGTTGTGAAGCTAAAACTGAGTGAACCGAAGGAAATAATAAAGATGTTTATTCCAAAGAATTATCCTTCATTGTTTCCACTCTTCGTAGACTTTCACTGAGTGATAGTTTGGTTATCCACCAAATTAAGACATCAATGAAATCTGTTATTTACAACCACCAAAAAAGGTGTTAATGATTTTTTTGGACAAACTGAATAATATCACCTAAATTAAAACCATATCAATTACTGTTGATGTAAACAATATGTGAAAAAGTTGATTGTTAGAGTGAGTTTTCAAGATCTGTGTTGAGAAACCTTAATTGATGCAGCTCAGAATCCGTCGCACTAGCGCTGATGCATTTATTCTGTATTTTCTGGTGTTATGTTTTGTTTTCTACGATTACTTATACAGTGTTTTCCATTCCTTTGCTCTTCATGTAGTCACTTTTTTGTCTCTGCACTGGCGTTTAGTGTGGGATTTTAGTCTGATGTACACTTTTCACTAGCCATATGTTGTTTATGAATGACTAAATCCCAAAACCAGTAGAAGTCACAAAATGTTAGTGCCAGATAATATGCCACGAAATAGTTTCAAATGATCTCATCGTTTTCATCTGCCTCTTCACCTGTTTTAATTTGTATTAAATCTTAGCTGAAGATGTTATTAATAGCGAAGCCTTTTTAACAGTTGTCGTAGTAGTCAGTAAAGTTGATTCAGTAAATTATTTAGCCTTCTTTAAATATCTGGGTAGGTCTGCATGCGTTCAATCGATCTCCAAATCAAAACGGGGCTTGAAGAAATGTTATTATGTTTCCAAGAAAAAGGCAAAGTTATGTCTCAACAAAATGTTTGAAATTTATGAACGGAATATTATTCACTGAATATAAATCACAGTACGCTATTTAAGACTATGAAGTTACATTTTGAATACATCAAATTAACTTCATATTGAACAAATCGAAATAGAACAAAAACACTGAAAGTCAATAGACAAAATTCCTTTTCAATCAACTTGAGGATTCTAAAACCGGTTTCTTAAATGTATTATTTGGGAATTTCACATCCTCAACAGAAACTTTTATGGAACAAACTTTTAAAGAATTATTTTACTTAAAATCATCACACTATTTTTGCACACTTATACATTTTTATCCTTAGGTTTCCAGATGATGTTGGACAGTAAATCTATAATTGATACATTCGAAAAACCAAGTGATATTGATGAAATCTATTGTATTCATGGATCAAATTTGAGTACCACTGACAAAATGATTTATTCACCGCCCAACTTCTTTCATAGTGGATTTCCAGATCAAGTGCCGACATTGATTCCTGGAAACGGTGATGGTACTGTTAGTCTACGTAGTTTAGAAGTCTGTAAACGTTGGCCTGGTATAAAATATTTCATGTTACCTGGGGCTGAACATGTAAATATTATGGGAGATCCACGTTTTATTGATATTATTCATCGAATTGTTGGTGCTAATACAACTAAAACATTAAACTGTTGTTAATTATTTTCTTCACTTTATTATTTACTTCTTCACTGTAATAAGATTCTCATTTCATTCAATTTCCATAGAATTATTTGTTACAATATATGGGATGGTGGTCAAGATAGACTGCAAAGTATAAGACACATGGTCCTGGATGTATCAAATGTCATATGGATATACTCAAACTTGAACAATATTTTTGTTTTAATGTGGACAAAATCAGGATAATAGAAGTTATGTTTTCTGTATTGTTTTTAGGTCCTCATAATTTATTTCTATTATTACTGTATTTTATTACAAAGTTCTTGTTTTAATTAGTATTAAGGGATTATTTTTAAGTTTGAAGAGGTTGTATAGGTTTTCTTTTTATGTTAAAATAGGTTTCATCATAGGTTGACATCAACTGGAGTACCAGAGACTGTCTGAATCAATCTAATTCACGTTTTATTAACATTATGCATCCATAATTTCACGTAAAACCAAACTCAGAGCATTTAGGTTTCGTAAAAAGTATGATACTTTTAAAAAACTGAGTTACAGTTAGAACGAAACAGCAACCCAATGTTTTTCTAGTTTTTAATGGTTTTTCAGCTGTTTTCTTTCTTTATTTATTTGAACACATAAATATTGGTACAAGAGGGCACCAAATATATATGCACCACACAAAACAATGAGAATTTAAAAACAAGAAAAAACAGGGTAAGGAGCGTAAAAGAAAAAGAGAACAATAACGAACAGATAGGTGTAAGGTAGAATAATAATGGTAATAACGGGGGAAACGGGAAGGTACAACCAGAAGAAATCTTTCAGTTAAGGAAGAAGCAACCACTTCTTACAAAGAAAGTTACGGCAGGATCGTCACTGGCTTCTGTTCTGAGCCATATCTGATAACGTCTTTAACCACTGTGTAGCACCATCTCTCAGACCCCAGCCAGGGAGTCCTGAAGGACCAACAGAAGCCAGTCCTTTGCAGCTTTCTTTCATACCACGACACCATGTCATATACTGACCACCTCTCTGCGTTTTCTAACCAGTCCCAGCGCCGGCAAATAATGCACGACGTGGAATTCTCTGGGACGACATTCGTAGAACATGTCCAAGCCACCGGAGTCGGTGTTTCAAGATGGTGACATCGATTGCATGATCATCTCTGTGCCCGAACACACGATGCCGAACCTTTGCATTACTGACATGGTGTTGCCACTGGATGTCAGCAATCCTTCGGAGACAACGATGATCGAACACAGAGAGTCGTCTAACGTCCTCAACTTGGAGAGGCCAGGTTTAACAAGCATAAAGTAGAATTGTTCTCACTGACGCGTTGTAGATCCGACCTTTCACAGCCAGACTAACATCACGAAGATGGTCCAGATCGGCATAAACCGCTCTGGTTTTCACTATACGTGCATTGATCTCATCACTCACGCCATCACCAGCACTTATGCGGCTACTTAGATACACGAACTTCTCGACTATTTCTACCTGCTCACCACCCAGAGTGCGTACAGTACTAGAATCCCGCCAGTCTTGTAGAAGTACTTTGCACTTCGAAGGTGCAAAGCACATACCATACCTACGGACATTGATTGTCAATTGATTAAGTGCGGATTGCATGTCTCAGGCATTATCACACAGTAAGACAATATCATCCGCATACTCAAGGTCAGAAGACCTCACGGTCGAAAACACGTCGGTGGTACCATATAAATTAGAAGAGTCTGGGCATACACTTAACTCCAACAGCATATGAATCCTTCAAAAAGGTTTTTTTCATTCAAAGAGATTAACAGTTGAAGCTTTACACATAAACAAACTCAAACAACATAAACAGTAGAGATGGGATACAACCAGTTATCTCATGGCAATTAGTAATTAATAAGTAATCCTGTATTTCGTTTCATACTTTACTGCTTCTAATTCGTCTATTATTGTACCGATAGCAAAGATGTGCTTTCATCTATTCTAATCAGTTAATTTGTCTGAATATACGATGAACAAACAGCTTGCTTGACACAAACTTACTTTTATTTGTTTATTTATTCCCATTTTATGCATACTGTGACACGTTTGATCCATAATATCTATCAAATTGTCCGAATCTATGAACAGTCATAACCAGAGGAGATATATGATCAGTTAATTTTCTCACATCAGATATTCATTCATCACAACTTCTCCACCTTTCGCACCAAATGATGCATACGCACTACGACATCCAATTAACAGCATTTTGAACATGACTAGATGACTTCTTTAGTGTACAGTTAACGATGAACCATGTATTTATGTTCTATAACTTTGATATTTGATTATATTACCTTGAAAAACCTTAGCCTAGATTGCCGAGAAAAATGTTGGATTTACTTAAAGTTTTTTACAAGTACAATTTCCTCCTTAAATCAAGCTAGTTTTTGTATGAGGTCCAACAACACTGGAAAGCTGAATCAGAAAGCGAATGAAGAGGCGCTGTCGGGCTAATAGGCGAATTTTCATTACCGACTTTATCGGAGTAAAATCTTAATGTGGTGCTTTCCATGGATAGTCAGTATCTCCAACTATCCCGTCTTTCCAAGACTAAGATGAGGATTTAGATTTCACTTGTAAAATCAAAATGTATAATTTTAAGGATAAATCCTTGCATATCATTAAAGGAAATAGAAATGTGCAAATCTATTTAACTCTAGGGATGATACGGTTCATATTTCTATTCATTCTGTGTAAAAAAATAAATTACTTTGAAGAATGTATTCATTGGATATTTCCCTAGGTTAGACTAATATATGTGGGATTGTTAGTACCATATATTTTTACTTTAAATGCTGTTGTTATAAACATGCTAGTGAACTTACAATCGTATGATTACTACAAGGTTATTTGGAATACAATCATGATTTACCTTGAAATTAGATCATATTAAAACGAATGATTATTTCCAGAATTATGAAAATATAACAATTAGTGAACGACCAAATGACCTTATAAGTTACTCAAATAAATACAAATCGACTGATACATAAAAATCGAAATAAAATATTTAAAAAAAAACAAGAGTGGTACGATCATAAGCACCTATTTGTTGGACATTCGTTTCGAATAACTTGATTAAACTAGGATAAGTTGTACCAGAATTTACTACTGTATAAATAAAATCCATAATATTTAAATCAGTTAATATTACTGTAATATTTCTGAAGGCATCACAAATTACTTTCTAAATAAACTAAATAACATAATAGTAAAGTTTATTTGATCAGTAACGATGTGTTTCTACATACATCATTTCTGTTTGCGGTTAAATCCATGTGGTACTTGAATAAAATAATGATACCTTTGTACTTGTGGATTGCTCAATTTCGAATTCCAAGTACAGTACATTCGTTTGTGGTTATCTTGATCCGACTGCGTTATTTCTGGGATTCCTAGTTCATACGATAATTCAAATACTTTCAAGTATTCTACTGGCGTCGCGAGCGGGATCCTGTGATGGAACGGTTGGATATACATTCAGATTTTGATGCTTTTGAGGATTACTTTGAAAGGTTCGAAATCTGGGCTATGACCAAGAAAGATGATGGGGATGTTAATATTGTAGCACATTTCCTCACATTCATCGGGAAAAGAAGCATATAGCTTATTAAAAACCCTGGATTTACCGGAAAAGCCCATTTCGCTTTCTTATACAACTCTCAAGGAGCTACTACTTGGCTATGTCAAGTATGCAAATTTTGAATGCAGTAAAGGAAGAAGATCTTGTAAAATGATTCATGAAGATATAAAAAAATTCCACTACATTACTACGTCATCCCAATCCAGTGCATACTGAAGGTTATGCAGATAATTCATTGAGAAGTTGCGATGCAGTTCATGAAAATGGCCACAAGTTTGCTCAATATTTGTCCTGTGGCAAGTTCCACTCTTTTAATTCATGTAAATTTCGTAATTCTGAGTGCTTTAAATGTGGTGATATTGGACATATTCAGTCAGTTTGCAATACTACTTTACATCTTGCTACAACTAATATTAAGTCTTGTAATTCTGATTCTATTAAGTCCAGTGTTCCTAATGATCATTTATCTTTATCAACGATTTCGAAAAACAGTGTAGAGTCATATAGCAGTTCAGAGTTAAATGAAACTCAGAATCCATGCGAGACAACAGTTTCTAATCAATCAACTTGTAGTGACCTACCTTTACCAAGAGAGCGCGATTGGTTTAATGGAAATAATTATTATTATAACCAATTGTACCAGTGATTGTTTTACTGTGCTCGTTTGTTTAACTGTGCTAAAGACAGCCATATTACTACGCCATTACTTTCCATACTTTCCTGTGGACTGTGGCCTCGTACGCTTGCGCTCTCGCTCACTAATTCCGCTTGTATTCCTTTTGGCACGATCTCGGTATTCGTTCGATACCATGAGATCGCCAATGAAATAAGTTTGGTTACGCTCCATCATCGCCTTCTGGTTTTCTGGTACGCGCTTTCTTGTAGTGGTGTTCATAATCGATCGCGACTCGACCTCACGCTACAACAGGTGAGCCAATTCTTGGAACACGTCCCAACCTCTGGGTAAATTTTCCAAAGAGGTCGATTCGGTGAGTCTATCGTTTATCTATCCACGTCGGTCGTATATTTTCATAATAATATTTTTCAATATATAATATACTCGACATGACGGATAGCGACAAGAATAGTATTAATGTCATAGACTCAGACGTACAGGCCATTCACTTTCGAGCTAACTCATTTATTCCCCACGACCCAGAGGTCAGGTTTGCCGCATTAGAATCTAAATTGGAGACCCGCCGCATCACGAGCCAAAGGCAAAATTATGGCTACGCCCTCGAATCATTACCCGAGGACCATATAGTTGCTGTCCGTGAGGTCGTCCTCAATTTCAATGTACCTAATGCTTATGGTCGCCTCAAAGAGGCCATTCTTAGACATTTCCTCCCATAGAGGAAGGAACGACTGAGGACATTATTAGCACGTCACCCTCTGGGTGATGCTAGACCAAGCCACCACCTCACGCGCCTGCAATCTCTTACAGGACCCACGGCGGCTGACTCTGAATTTGTCAAGGAATTGTGACTCGAGTCATTACCAGAACACATCCAACCTAGAGTGACAGCCCTGCTTGAGAACGCACCACTTAACCAGGTAGCCCTCATAGCAGACAAAATTTTAGCGAGGACTAGTAACCGAGACAGCTATATAGTTGCCTCAACGGCACGTCCGAGTGCAAACATGGAGGCCGTTCACTCCTCGGTTCAAGGCGATAGGGACGGGTGTATTTACACACGTCTTAGTTTTCGAGACCGTTGTGACGAAACCCAACCCTACGCCCACCGAGCCCGTTCACGCTCCCGCGAAGCCGTCACCACTCGCCCAACGAGGACATTTTCCAAGCCACACCGAAAGGCGGCTTCGGAAGCAAGTGGAGGTTGGTGCTGGTTCCACCGGTCCTTCGGGTCTGGCGCCCGCCATTGTCGAGCAGCCTTCTCGTACAAAGCAAGAAACTCCAAAGCCGGCGAGTAAATGCGGCCGTACTCGCCGGCCCCTCTCCCACGTTGGCCGTTTATTCTGCGTTCAGGATTACCGCACAAACGCTAGGTACCTAGTGGATTCTGGGGCCCAAGTTTCTGTCGTACCAATTGGTAACAGCAAATCACAAGCTACAACGCTTCGAGTGCGCACTGCGAATGGCTCGGTCATTCCTACCTATGGTACACGACAACTCACGGTCAACCTGGGCAACCGACGACGGTATCTGTGGATATTCATCATTGTCGATGTTCTCACAGCCATACTAGGTATTGATTTCCTACAGCACTAAGAATCGCTGGTCAATTCACGTAGGTTGCAGCTAATCGATACTTCGTCGAACAGCAAAGCTCACACAAACACCTACCGAATTCTAGGCACTTTTTATTTGCGTGACGATTAATTCCACGCTTTATTCGAGAAATTCCCCACATTAACTAAACCACTCGAGGAGATTCCATCGATGACCAACC